TATTATATAATATAATATATATTTCGGTACGATATCGTTATTTCGCTATTTCATTTTAAAAGTATCAAATATCATACTTAATATTAATTTTTTTTAAAACTTAAACCAAATACCACATCGAATACCAAAACGAATACCAAATATCAAAATTTTCGGTTTCACTGATAATTCGGTATTTACTCACGGCCATGCGAGAAACCTTGGTACCACTTCTCTCTTTCTATACGTGTACTCCAATTACTCAAATTCAACATTCCTAAACCCTAAACCCTAATCTTAGAAGCAAATCCGAACGGCCATGGCACATCACGCCGGTGACAACGACGGCGACGGCCAGAAACGGCGGCTCTATAACCCATACCAAGATCTCCAAGTCCCTATACAAAACCTTTACAAACTCCCCACTTCCCCTGAATTCCTCTTCCAAGAAGAATCTCTCGCACAACGCCGATCATGGGGAGAAAACCTAACGTACTTCACCGGCATCGGTTACCTCTCCGGTTCTGTCCTCGGCGCCGGTAAGGGATTCATCGAAGGCGTAAAAGCTTCCGAGCCAGGGGATACCTTAAAGCTCCGGGTTAACAGGATCTTAAACGGGTCGGGTCATACGGGAAGGAAATTCGGGAACCGTGTCGGAATAATTGGGCTGATTTATGCGGGTATGGAGAGTGGGATGGTGGCGATTAGGGATACGGATGACGTGATCAATAGCGTGGTGGCGGGTTTAGGGACTGGAGCTTTTTATAGGGCAGCGGCGGGGCTGAGGTCGGCGGCTGTTGCTGGGGTTATTGGTGGTGCTGTTGTAGGGCTCAGTGTTGCAGCGAAACAGGCCGTGAAACGATACGTACCTATCTGAGCTTTTGTGCTGGTTTAATTTTTGGGCCTTAATGTTAGTAGCTTTCAATTGTTACTGAAATTTTAGATCATACATTGAGAAATTGTTTTCAGGCTGAGCAGTAAGGTAATTATTTCATGAAAAGTTGCATGCTTTCTAGATGTATTTACATGTTTTTGAATAGATATTCTGAAATTAGGTATAAAAGACACTTGTATCGTATGATTAGCTACTGCATGCCATTAAATTGCACCTTGAATAGCAATAATGTTTTTAATGACGTTGGTGGTCGGACCAGCCTGCACACACTATTCCATCAGGGGTATCCTATGCGCAAAGACTTAGGCTAATTCTATGCCTAAAGACTTAGGTATGAATTAGCCTAAAGACTTAGTTAGATGGAAAAAAATTACCTAATATTTTTTCGCCTCTATTGGGATTTGAACTTGATACCCCACTGTTCTCCTTTCACTTTGTTGACTACGAGAGCCACACTTCGGGTGCTATAATTGTTTCATGCAAGTTGTATGCTTTCTAGAGGTGTTTTCGTATCTTTTGAACATATACTCTGAAATTATGTTCAAAAGAGACTTGGTATGAATTTTACAAAACAGAGACTTGCTAGTGAATATATATAGCACCTTCCAATGGTTGTTTCCGTGTGACATATAGGTCACGGAAACAGCTACTAATGCTTGTATTAGGGTAGACTGTCTATATCATACCCTTATGGTGTGGCCCTTCCCCGGACCTTGCGTGAATGCGGGATGCTTTGTGCACCGGGTTGCCAATGGTTGTTCCCTTACTTTTGTGTTCTCCGTCAATTGTCTTTTGTCATTACAGACTCGTGCAAAATTTCAAGAATGCATCTTTAGCGATTGCAGAAAGTTTCAAGGATGCACCTGTGTAATGGTTCTCCGCTCCTAATTTTGTACCAATTGTTAGTTACTGAAAAAGCTGTTCAGTAGCTAGCATTCGGACAACTAAATTTAAGGTGCACTTTTTTATGGCATACAGTAGCTAATTGTTTTTTTTTTTTTTTTTTGCTGTAGTCATTTTATGTTCTTGAGAAGTACCATTTATTCTTTGATGGTAACGTTGGGATTATGATCTATGAACCATTGAAATCAGTTGCTTTGACAATTACAATTGTGTTAGTTCTCTTGCTGATCAATTTTATGCATGTATATGCATTGTAACAGTTTCTAACTTGTTTGGGAACGACTAGGAGTGTCAATTTGAGCTCAAACCCATCCAATCTGCCCAACCCGCCCAGAGATTAATGGGTTGGGCTACAACATTTTAGCTCATGGGTCAATTTGGGCTGATCCCAAGTTAACTCATTATTTTTTGTAGCTCATTCTGACCCATGAAGTAGCCCGAATACAACCCATGAAACTCATCCCAAAACAAAGGGATCTCAACCCAACTTATCTAGAAATTTACTTAGTTACCACCCACCCTACCCCAGCAAAAAGAAAATTTTGTACCTTTTTTTTTGTTTGTATTTTCAATTTTCTGTTTTTTCGTTTTCCTGCACCACCCACCCAACCCCTCAACCCCGCAATTATTTTTTTTTTCTTTTTTTTTGTATTTTCTGTTTTCTGTTTTTTCGTTTTCCTTGCCCCCCCATTTGCCACCCCTAGGAACGAGGCATAGTTGTTATTATTGTATATGTACCGTGACAATATTACTTTCTTGTTTTGCAGTTTAGGTTAATTGCTAAGTATTCCCAGTAGGATCGCTGTTTATTTGATTATGACAGTGCATATGGTTCTTTTTTGAAATTGGCTTATATATTGATACGATTTTTAAGGGATCGTACTAAATGTGAGTAGAGGATTTGGAAATCATGGTCCGAGCAGTAATCTTGTCTTGAATTTTTGTTTTTTGTTACTGCTTCAACAACCATGGCATGTTCCTTTTCAATCTTTGAACAGAACTCATGATTCATTCTTGTTGATCAAGTTCCACCCCTCATTAACTTTTTCTGAGAAAGTGATCATTTGTTGAAATATTGGATTGAACAGTTTGGGAGCTCATACAAGAGCATGCTGTTTTTCAATGCAAAGCTTCTTGGAGATGTTTTATATTGTAAAAAATTATTTTGGTGTTTTCCAATATCTAAATTCATATTTATATTTATTTTCTTGCTAATAAATTAAAAAGGAAACTTACAATTTTAGATCCAAGGACGTGACCTAGTGGTCAATGAAGTGGGTGAAAACTTTGGAGACCAGGTTCATATCCCAACAAGAAAGGAAAACTTTAGGTGATTTCTTTCAATCTGCTTAAGCCTTGATGGCAGAGTTATCGTACTTGTGCTCGTGGGAGGTAGCAAACATCCGGTAAAATAATTGAGGTGTAAGCATGCTGCCCTGGAGTTTATCGTTATAGGAAAAAACTGAAAAGTTTAGGCCATTTCCTCTTATATTGGTAAAAAGTTATGAATAAATATATGTCATCTTAGATATGTGTAAAATCACACATAAACTACAGCTATGATGTCAACCGGGAAACCCTTCTTGTTTTTAGCATAATCTGAGTATTTGGTAAAAGTTCAAAGCAGTGGTATGATGAATTTCTATTCACCTGAGTGATTGCTGTGTCCGCGCTTCAGATAGGACTATCATAGGTATTATTATAATGCTAATTATTTCGATTCAATTGCATGATGTCTTTGCTGTTAAGTATGTGAAATCTGGCATTATGGTATCTCTATTTCAAATTATCGAAACTTAGCCCTCAACACTGTTTAGAGAACTAGTTCCTTCTATTTGCTTTCAAAACTCCCCCCCTCTCCCGGTTTAAACTTTAAACTTATAAAATTGGGAATATTTAATATTTAATCATAATTAAATTATATATATATATATATAAAAAAAAAATTGATGTGATGTAATAACATCGATTTTGTTGGGTAGATTATCTACCATCCCCCAAGGAAAAAATACTTACGTGTGGATAGGTTTTCATTCAGAATGAATTTCTCGTCTACCTTTAAGATAAGTGCTTATCGGAATTTTTTTTTTTTTTTTTGGTAAGAGGGGAAACTCGCAGCCGCTACAATTTCTGCCACAGTCTCTGCCCTTCGGGTGAGCACTTTGTGCGCACTGGGTAAACCTCCCCCTGTGTAATAGCCTACAAATCACACAGGGGATGTAAACCGCACTAGGCAAGCCCTATGCGACAGACTCAACCCAAAAGGCATAGATGACCACCATCCAAACCAACTAGGCAACCCGAACGATTGTGCTTATCGGAAGTTAAAAGCTGACTTTAACGAGCAATACTTCCACCTTAAATTGCTTTTTAAAATGCATACTATCTGTCTTTTAGTCTATAAATGCTCAAACTATTTTACCCCTCAACTTATTCCCACAATTGTACTTTCTACAATAACAATAACAAATCAGTTTATTTTCATAAGTGAGGTTTGAGAAGGTAGGGTATACGCAAATTTTACGCCTATCCTGGGAGGACAGAGAGATGGTTTTCATAAGACCCTAAGCTAAAGAAAAGATGAAAAGAAGTAGTGACAAGAAGCAACAACAAGATATTAAAAAATATCGAAGCGAAAGATAGCAATCAAATGATAGGCAGTGATAGCAATCTAAGAATACAAAGATAACATACTAACACTAAACTTACCGGTACAGGAAAGAGAAAAAGTAAAACGCTCGACTACCTACTAACATTCTATTTTAATTCTCGACTTCAACACTCTCCTATCAAAGGACACGTCCTCGGTAAGATCTAAAATTTTACTACAAATATCACAACAGACTACACTACTGATAAATAACATCTGAGGACTTACCATAAATATATATGTATTCTTAAAACCATTATATAGAGTTCGTAAGAAAAAATAATATTCAGTGTCTTGTACCTATTACTATCGGAGTGACATTACTCCATTAACGAAAAGAATAATGAAAAAGTAAAAGGAAAAGGAAAAAGGAGGAAAAGCTACTCAAGAATAGAATAAAAAGATAAAGTCACCTCCACCTTTTATACATAAATCTATAGTTACTCAAAACCAAATCTTGAAGCAAAGCCTAATTACTAACCCTCTCTTTTTCCTCCTCCTTCCTCTAAACCCAAACCCCATCACAAATTAAAGATCTCATTTTCCTTCCTAATAATGGAAAATTTTAGATCAATGTCAACAAGAGAAGGAAGAATGCAGAAGACAGCAGCAGCACCAACAAGCATGCAAGATTTAAGGAGTTATAGTACTTCTCATGTTCCTTATTTTTCTATGGATAAGGTGAAAAAGAACAATAATAATAAGAGCAAAGTGATGTCATCTTCATCTATAAAAGGGTGGAATTTGAATGATCTTGAATTGCAAAGAAAGAGAAGAGTTGTTGGATATAAAGCTTATGCTATGGAAGGTAAGATGAAGGGTTCACTTAGAAAGAGCTTTAGGTGGATTAAGGATACTTGCAACCATGTTGTCCATGGATGGTGGTGATCGATCAATGTGATGGAAATGTTGTGCGGACTCTTCATAATGATGTTGCACTTCATACTTTTGGAGGATCCGACACGCACCTTCGAAGAATCCGAGCAACATCGCAGATATAAACAACGGAAGCGAAAAGCTAGAATCACTTTGTTAGTACGACTCTTGTAATTTCTTTTCACGTTTAAGCATTTACATAAAGATTTATCTTTTTCACACTAAAAAAAGAAGAAATTTATCAGATATCTGGAGATAGTTGTGGATCTTGCAAAAAAAAAAACATCACTTTATGTAATAGATCGATCAATCTCTCAATCGAGAACAACATGGAGGAGTAATTTGGAAATGGGAAGCCTGTTATCTTAAAAAAACATATGTTGAATATTATTTTGAAAGACATGTACGTATGTACATCTAGTTGAATATTATCTGCCAATTTTGCAAGTCGAATTTGACTCTTCTTTTTTTTTTTTTTTTTTTTTTTTTTTTTTTTTTTTATGTTGAGAATTAAGTTTTCCTTCTATCAATAGTTAAATCCTAAAATTATTAAACTCATTTGACTGGGCACGGAGTTTAAGAAAAGAGAGAAGACTTTTGAACTTGTGGTGTAAAATAAAGCACATATATTTTGTGTGGCTATAAATCATTGCATAAAGGTAAATTGTTTTCAAATAAGGAAAGAGGTCATTCTTTTTTGCACGGATTAAAAAGAAAATAGGTTCACATAAATTGAAACGGGGAGTATTATTTAACATTCTTTCCGTTTTCACTTTACTTGGTAAAATTTGAATTAGTTTGGAGTTTAAGAAATAAAGAAAAATTTTGAAACTTATTATTTAAAACAAGTCATAAAATTTAAAGTTTAAGCTATTTTTTTTTTAATTTGTAAAAATATTATTCTTTTTGTGACAGATAAAAGATAAAATTTTGCCACGCAAATTGGAATAGAGGTAACACAATAATATCACTCAGAGCCAACGATAGATGAGTAATTGAAACAATAATATTTCTGTAACAAGAAACTATAATGCTATAATATAAAGAAACAGTAATATTTCTATAACAAGAAAAAATCAGAAGCAGAATCTGAAAATATATTTCGAAATAAAATCGAGCCCACTGAATGCACAATGTGTTCTTAAGAAAATTATTCCCCTCAAATACCTGAGGTGTTGGAATATTATCCTCTCAGGATAGAACGATTTAACTCACCAGAGTATCGGTACCAAAAACGCCGGTGAAACAGCGAACCACTTGAAGGTTGTATAACACACTGAAAAATTTTGTGCAGAAGAAGAAGATCAAAAAATTTTGTAAGGAAAAATTCTGGATCAAAGCATATTTATAGCCATTTTCTTTCAATGTTTCTGAAAAGGTTTGCAACCTTTCAGAAAGAGCCATGGCTGTTGGAACAGGCAGGAACGATTCCCGTTTAAAATATTAGTGGAAATTAATTTAAAATAATCTGAAAAAGAAACGGGCTGGATCACGTCGCGGGTCCTGGGTTATTCCGGGTTGACTTTTCGTCAATTAATTAAATTAAATAATTGAAAGAAATTTTGTCCAAAAAGATTCCGAATCTGAAGCCGAGCGACGACGACGCGAGGCTTACTTTCTTTCCAACCCATTTAACACCAAGGGAAGTGTTTTCTCAATATAAACACATTCATTTTTCTTTCTACCACCAATGAGGGACACTTGCTCTTTCCAAAGCACAAGGGAGCTCACTTTTCCTTCACTTTCTTCCCTCTATTTTTCATACATCATTCTTTTAAGAAAAAATGGCCTAATATACCTCTATACTTTATTATATTATTTATATCTACCCTCCGTTATACTATCGGGCCATATTTATCCTTACCGTTAGCCAATCTTTTTAAAAATACCCTTCACCCTACGGAAAGCCATCAGATTAATAAAATAATTATTTAAAAAAAAAAATATTAACCCAAACCCATTAAACTCATCATTTAAAAATACGGAACCTAGATTTCTGAGACGTCTTAACACATTTAGAGAGAGACCGGGAATGGTGGTGGAAGTATGATTAGTAAGAACTTATATTTTGGTTATTAGTTGCTCATGGTGGCATTAGGATGTCATGTTATCACTTTCGGTTATTTTTTTGTGTGTGTGGTTATAATATGAAATCTTTTTTGTCTAATGTAATGCACACTTCACAGTTGGTTTGTAAGTTGGTAACAACTAATATATACTTTAATAATTATTATATTTGGTTAATACATGAAGGTAGTGTACTTAGGTTGTTAAGTTACTTTCCAACTTGTTGGTGTACTTTCTTTCATTCTTGATGAATTTATTAGAATGTAGTTTGATATTAAATTGAATCTCCTCTAATTATTTTCTAATTTTTGTTCATTATAAGCTCAGTTGTTACTAAGAATTATGAGTATCCCATCTTATATCTTGGAATCTAACTTTAGTTCTTAAGGCGTGATTTGGCAATAATTACTTGTTGCCCAAATGCTTAAAGCAGAATAAGAAAATCATGGTGCATGAATACTCATCAACAAAGGCTCACTGTTGGAGGAAGAAATACTTCGATAGCTACCTTAAGACTTTAGAATTGGCAACCTAATAAGATGCTATAAATATTTAAGTCATAGTGGAAAGAAAATCATGATGAATACTCGGTACGGCTCAACATGGTGGAAAAAAATAAAGCTAGAAGAAAAAAAGAAAATTACAAAAAGGTAGAATGTAATAAATATATAATAAGGATATTAAAAGAATTGGGACTCAATGTATAAATGAATATATGGTTATCAGTATTTTTATATCTTTCACTTATTGAGTTCAACAAGTGGCTACGAAGGAGATGACTAATATGCGAGGAAGAAGTGCAGTAAATAAAAGGGGTTTAACAGGTTATTAATGGGTTTTAAAAAGATAGGTATTTTTTTTAATTTGGTGGCTTTCCGTTAGGTGGAGGGCATTTTTAAAAAGTTTGACTAACGGCAAGAGTAGATATATCCCGATAGTATAACGGAGGGTAGATGTAAACAATATACCAAAGTAGAGGGGTATATTTGACCTTTTTCCCAATCTTTTAATCCTAACAATCTCCCACGTGAATGGGGAATGGCTATAAGACAAAGGAATGCACAGACGAGTGTGAGATTTACATGCAAAGATTAATTGCATCTCGATAAATAAGTTTCCCTTTGAACTTTCCGTAGTGAACTTATATCGGATATATTCGGTCAATCGGTAGATTTGATATTTTTGAACCGTCAAGCTTTGTTATATACCTAGACAATCATAAGTCACACAATCAACCCTTAACCCTATATGGTTCTCACGGTTGTGTTCGTTTCAGCCATGAACACCGCCTGATTTCATGAGTGCTTAGAGAATGGGCATTTACCTTTAGTCCCCTTGAAGCGGCTTACACTTCATACTCGCATAGGTGATTTCTAAACGTGTAATCCTCTAGACACACTATCTGGTCATTTCCTGCTAGACTTAGCAAATCATTAAAAAGCTTTAAGCTTTATTGACTCATCAAAAAACCTTAATGCTTTACCCTGATTTCTGAACATTGTCTTCATCATGAGAATGGGTTGAGTTATTTGACAATGTTGAACCATCAGACATAACTTTGTTTGATCTCTCTGAACCTATATCTTGGGATCTCCAGTCTGCTAGGTAGAGTTACCGCCATGATGACTTGTCCTAGGCCTTAATCCCATTCCCTTCGATGATCTTTCAACTGCCTCTCTAGATAGGCCTTTTGTAAGTGGACCCGACATGTTATCTCTTGACTTTACGTAGTCAATCGTGATAACACCACTAGAGAGTAGTTGTCTAACGGTATTGTGTCTCCGTCGTATGTGATGAGATTTTCCATTATACATAATGCTCCCTGCCCTGCCTATTGTCGCTTAACTATCACAATGTATACATATAGGTGCCAAAGGTTTGGGCCAAAATGGAATATCTTCCAAGAAATTCTAGAGCCATTCAGCTTCTTCACCGGCCTTGTCTAAAGCTATGAATTCAGATTCCATTGTAGAACGGGCGATGCACGTTTGTTTGGATGATTTCCAAGACACTGCTCCACACCTAATTATGAAAACATATCCACTCGTGAATTTAACTTCAGATGATCCGGTGATCCAATATCACTATATCCCTCAATCACGGAGGGATATTTGTTATAATGCAGAGCATAGTCTTGGGTATGTTTCAGATACCCCCAAAACTCGTTTCATTGCCATCTAATGTATTTGATTGGGATTACTTGTAAATCGACTCAGTTTGCTAATAGCACATTCTATATCTGGTTGCGTACAATTCATGATATACATCAAACTTCTCAATACTCTTGCATAGTCCAGTTGTGAGTTACGTTCACATTCATTCTTTTGAAGAGCATAACTCACGTCAATTGGAGTCTTGGCAATCTTGAAATCCAAATACTTGAACTTGTCAAGTATCTTTTCAATGTGGTGAGACTATGATAATGCTAGATCTTGTGGAGTCTTGTGAATTATGATTCCTAAGATCACATTAACAACTCCTAAGTCTTTCATGTCGAATTTTCTAGCTACCATGCACTTAGTAGCATTTATGTCTGCCATATCTTTGTTCATTATCAACATATCATCAATATATAAACAAACAATGACCTCATGACCTGGATTATTTTTAATGTAAACACATTTGTCACACTCGTTGATTTTAAACTCACTTTCCAATATTGTTTGGTCAAATTTGGCATGCCATTATTTGGATGCTTATTTAAGTCCATAAAGCGACTTAACAAGTTTGCACACTTTCTTTTCATTACCCAGAACCACAAAACCCTCAGGTTATTCCATGTAAATCTCTTCCTCCAATTCTCCATTTAATTAAGTTGTTTTAACATCCATTTTATGGATTTTAAGACCATACACGGCCGCCAGTGCCACTGACACCCTAATAGATGTTATCCTCTTTACGGGCGAGTAAGTGTCAAAGTAATCAAGACATTCCTTTTGTCTATA